GTAGATCCTAAGCCATTGCTCTCTCTACCCTACCATATTATGTTTCTAGCCAAACATAACAAAATCTATTAAATGTAGCATATTTCATAATGTGTTCCAACAGAGAACTATCTCTGGTTTCAGAAAGAATGGGTTCATATACTATATTTGCCACTTAATACTTCTATAAGCTGGACATGGTTAGTTAGGTTCTCTGTGCTCAGTTTCTTTATCTGTAAAATAGGATAATAACAATACCTACTTAATTGTGCTTTTATGAGAAAGTAAATGAGATTATACATGCAAAGTGCTTAATTCATTACCTAGTAAATACAAGTTAGAAATTAGCATGTATCATTATTATTGTCATGTGCTGCACTGGGTATATGAAACTATGACTATAATGCAAATGTCTAAGATGGAAATTATGATTGTAAACTACAATAATCAAGTGCCAATTACTCACCTCAAAGAATAGATCCAGTTAAGCATCATGAATGTTTTTCTCTGCATTGGTTCCAAAAATAATTATCTACTGTCATAGATAAGTGCTTATGGCCCACTGAAATAGTTCATAAAGGCCCTATGTTTTTAGAAGAACCTATGGAAAATGTGTAACTAGATAAAGTCATACATAATGGACAATAGAAGCTTTATTTGTTTGAAAAGCTGAGGAGTTTTGTTTTACTGGGAATCACTACAAGCTGATAAGGAATGGAGATGGAAGTGGACTCTTTTCTTTTGCTTTGGGCAGACAGAATGACGGACAGTGCCTTGTGTCAATTCAAAAGAGGCTGTTGACAACATATCAGTAAGCACTGCCGGGGGGTGACAGCCATTAAGAGAAAAGTATAGGTGGTGTTGAGAAATTAGAATGGGAAACTAGGCATCATGATCACTCAAGAGGTATGTAGTAGTCACTCAATGTGAAGGCAAGTGATCAGACATTCACAGCACAGGAATCTGTACTGCCACACTTTAGTTCTACACTTTTGAAGGAGCCGTTAAATGATAAGGGCAACACAGAAAAATACTAACATCTCAGTGAATCCCTGTTATCTATCATTGAAATATAGCCTCATGGACATAAGCTGCTACCACCTAAAGAAGCTGCAGGGGCACATTACAAGTCATGAGGCTATCTAAATGAACCCTGAGAATTCTCATCACAATGAAGCTTTTTAAAAGGGGAGAATTAAGCTTCATTGTTTTCAACCTTTGCGCAGTCATTTTTGTTAAACTTTGAGGAAATTACCACTGCTGTCAATGCATAATGATAAAGTTTAGTGTGGATAAAGCACTAAAAAAAGGAAAACTGGCAAGCAGCATTAAAGGTGATTCCTTAAAAACTAACATACCAGGTCAGAAAATCAGAAGAGTTTGTTAGATTCATTTTCCAGACAGGCAAACCAAATCCAAGAGAGGGAACAGGACTTGCATAGTCAGTTAGTAGCTGACCTAATGTTGAATCACCAGTGTTATTTCTAGCTTTAAGATACTACATAGTGCCATAGGCAATACATATCATATCCTTGACTCAGTGTGGTAGGTCAAATTTCAGGATGGTCCCCAAGATTTCCACTTGTTGGTATAACACACCTACTTTCAGTCAAATACTAGTCTAGGTGTTGCTGTGAAGGGGTTTTCCAAATGTAAGTAAGGTCCCAATCAATTGACATTAAGACAGAGAGATTATCCTGAGTGGGTCTGACCTAATCAGATGAGCCCTTAAAAAAGGTCTGTGGCTTCCTGGTGTGAAAGTTTTGAAGTACAAGGGGAATTTGATATGAAGAATTGGTACAGACTAAATTGCATCCCCCTGAAATTCATGTGTTGAAACTCTAACCCTTAATATGACTGTATTTGAAGATAGGCCTAAAAGGAAATAATAAAGGTGAAATGAAGTCATAATGGTGTAACCTTAATCTGATAGAACTAGTGTCTTTATAAGAAGAGGAAGAGTCACCCTTCCCTTTTAGAGCATACAAAGGAAAAGGCCATGTGAGGACATGGCAAAAAAGGTGGACATCTACAAGACAGGAAAAGGGGCCTCAGCAGAAACCAACCTTCCAACACCTTGATCAGGACTTACAAATCTCCAAAATTGTGAGAAAATAAATTTCATTCATTTAAGCCACCCAATCTGTGGTATTACTTTATGGCACTCTGTGAAGATGAAGTCAGGAAGATTCCCTGTCACTGGTTTTGAGGATTAAAGTCATGACACAAGGTGCTACCATCCTAAGTAGAGATTCTTTTAGGTTTTTGGTGATTGTGGGAAGAAAGAATTTCAGGATGCACCACATAAGCCAAAGCAAGCAGCTTTTATTGAAAGCAAACATGAAAGTATACTCTCTCAAGAGAGAGGGAGCAGACAGGCTTGAAAAGAGCACCTGCACCCAGATGATGTGTTTTTTTAGAATTTTGAAGTCTTGATCATTGAGAGGAGGAATATTCATAGCTAAGTGATTGGTTTTTACTAAGAATTTGAGTAGTAATTTCTAGAATTGGAATATTTCACATTTTCATATTTTATATAGTTATTTCAGAACTATAATGGCAATTTCAAGGGCAGAGAATTTTTAAAACTACAATGCAAATGATATTGTAATTAGCCAAAGTTCATGGATAGCTGACAAGCCAATTAAAGCCAGCTCTTGTCTGTGATTATCAGCCCCCCCTTAGTTAGATTTTAACACCTGCACCTACTCTGTAAGCCCCTATATTTGGCTCCTAGCCTAGTAGCCTAGTTAGCCTGTGGGTTATTTTAACACCTACACTCACTCTGCAAGACCTTGCACCTGATCTCAGCCCTGTATTCTAGTCTCCATTCTAACTCGAATAAGGTGATATCTCATTGTGGTTTTAATTTGCATTTCCCTGATGATTATTGATGTTGAGCATTTTTTCATATGTTTGTGAGTGATTTGTCTATTTTATTTGTAAAAGGCTCCTGTTCATGTCTTTTTTGCTGATTTGCTTTAGTTCTTTGTAGATTCTGGTTATTAGCCCTTTATCAGATGTATCCTTTTGGATATTTTCTCCCATTCTGTAGGTTGTCTACTTGCTCTGCTGATTATTTCCTCAACCATATAGAAGCTATTTAATTTAATCAAGTCCCATTTATTTATAGTTGCTGTAAATACCTTTAATGTCTTCTTCATAAATTCTTTGCCTAGGCCAATATCTAGAAGAGTTTTCTGACATTTTCTTGTAATATTCTTATGGTTTCATGACTTATATTTAAGTCTTTTATCCATCTTGAATTAATTTTTGTAAGTGGTGAGAGATATGGATCCCGATTCACTTTTCTGCATGTGGCTATCTTATATTACCAGCATTGTTTATTGAACAGGGCTTTGTTTTCCAGTGTATATTATCCTCTGCTTTGTTAAATAACAGTTGGCTGTATGTGGATGGCTTTATATCTGGGTTCTGTATTCTGTTTCATTGGGGTCTGTCTCTATTTTTGTGCCAATAAACTTCTGTTTTGGTTACTATAGCGTGAACTATGGTAAAGTGATGCCTCCAGATTTGCTTTTTTTGCTTAAGGTTGCTTTGGTTATTCAGACTCTTTTTCTGGTTCCAAACTGAGTGCAGAATTGGGTATTTTTAGATCTTTGAAATATAACATTGATATTTTGATGGGGATTGCATTGAATCTGTAAATCGCTTGGGTAGTATGGACATTATAACAATCTTGATTCTACTGATCCATGAGCATGATATGTTTTCCCATTTGTTTACTCATCTGCAATTTCTTTCCTCCATGTTTTATAGTTCTCTTGTAGAGATCTTTCATCTACTTGGGTCAGTATATTCCTAGGTATTTTATTTTTTTTACAGCTATTGTGAATGATACTGAGTCTTTGATTTGAGTCTCAGCTTGACTGTTATCAGTATATAGGAATGCTACTGATTTGTGTACATTGATTGTAACCTGAGACCTTGCTGAATTTGCTTATCAATTCCACTAGCCTCATAGCAGAATGTTTGCAGTTTTCTAGATATAAGATCATATTGTCAGCAAAGAATGATAGCTTGACCTCTTCTGCCCCCATTTGGATATCCTTGATTTCCTTACCTTGTCTGATTGCTCTGGCTAGGACTTCCAGCACTAAATTGAATAGAAGTAGTGATAGAGGGCAACCTTGTCTGGTTCCAGTTCTGAGTGGGAATGCTTTCAATGTTTCCTCTTTCAGTATGATGTTCGCTGTGGGTTTGTCATATATGGCTTTTATCATTTTTAGGTAAGTCTTGTCTATGAAGATTTTGGTAAGCATTCTTATGATAAAAGGGTGCTGAATTTTATTGAATGCTTTTTCTGTGTCTATTGAGAGGATCATATGGTCTTTGCTTTTACTCCCATTTATGTGGTGAATTACATCTACAGATTAACATATGTTGAACCATCCCTGCATCTCTGGAATGAAGTCCACTTGGTTGTGATGGATTATTTTTTTTGATAGGCACCTGAATTCAGTTTGCTAGGATTTTGTTGAGAATTTTTGCATCTATATTCATAGAGCCTATTGGTCTGTAGTTTTCTTTTTTGTTGTTGTTGTGTCCTTTCCTGGTTTTAGTGTCAGAGTGATGTAGGCTTCATAAAATATGTTGGGGAAGATTCCTTCCCTTTTGATGTGGTCCAATAATTTCCACAGCATAGGCACCAGTTCTTCTGGTAGGTCTGGGAAGATTGAGGTGTTAAAACTTCTGGTCTGAGATTTTTTTTGGAAGTTTTTTTATGGCTGCTTCAATTTCAGTATTTGATATTGGTCTGTTCAGGAATGCAATTTATTCCTGTTTGAGCCTAAGGAGGCTGTGTGCTTCGAAGAATTTGTCCATTTCCTCCACATTTTCAAGTTTATGTGAATAGATATTTTTATGCTTTTGAGCTCTCCAGCAGCTCAGGAGCCTGCTGACTGCCAGAAATGAAAGGGAATGAAAAACAGACCCCAGGCCCCACCTACCCTTTTTGCTGGACTCCAAGCCTCTCGGGAGTTGATCTCTGCTGATATCTTGCTCCTTCTTATTCTGCTCTGCAACTGCTTCCCATGGAATCTCTGGTAGGTTCCGGCACTTTTCCCTCTGAAATACATGCAATCTGTATCTGTTTGTTTGTTTGTTTGTTTGTTTGTTTGTTTGTTTTAATTTTCATCTAAAACTTTTCCTTCCTTCTGAGATGATCTGGAGCTGGTGTCTCAGTCAGCTATCTTGTTTGCCCCTGTTTATCTTAAAGTAATTGTATCTGAGTGTGATATATGAGGTGCGGGTTGCAGGTTTGGTTGCTACCAGGAGTATGAAATGGATACTGACAGCCTCAAGACACATTTTTCTCACCAAGGGTGAAGTTTCAGGGTCATAGGATATTTATTTCACAGGGATTAAGCTGATCAAGGTTCACACATATTTTCTGCAGCTCCTAGCATACTTTAAAATACATTTTTGATAGCCTATAAGCTATCAAAATGATAATAATTATAATAATGATAATTGAGAAATAACTCAGATAGGACATTTTGATTACCTTAATAATTTAGATAGATATATAACTGCAAAAAATGAGATGGGTGAGGCTTAAGTAGGAGTGCACTGAACTCTCTAATGTATTCAATGCCCTGCAGTGCCTGAGAACCAGTTGGTTGACAATATACCAAAAGTTCAATGATGATTTAATTTAAAAGTTCTTGTGTTTTATCATTCATATTTAATTATAGTTAGTTCATTAATTACCTTCAAGAGAAGTGAGACTGAAATGAGAATTAAATGGTACTTTAAAAAGCTAATTTTGCAAACAATTAAATGAAGCCAAATATAATTGATAATTGCTGTAACAACTGGCCCTGAGGCACTCCACTTTAGAAAAATTGTTGTTTAGCCTTTGATAATATGAGAGAATAGAAACTCTCTTCTTAAGTTTAAACAAATATGAAAAGTCAAAATAAAGACAATTAAGCTTTTCATAAATTTGACTCAAATTTAAGGTGGCAACTTTAGCAACATAAATTTGAAAATTGTTTCTAGAAAAAAAAAAAGGTTGATGAAGACCAGAGCTAAATGTAGGAAAAAAATATACATCTATCATCACAAAAATATGCATTTAGAAAAAAAGTGATGAATCTTATGTTACTCATGTCTTCTTGAGGGAACTGCAACTCTCTTGAACCTTTCTTTCCTAGTGCTTATATGTATCCTTTAGAGTATCCAACCTGGAACCACACAGCAAACTGAGCATGTAGTTTAAAAATATTATTGAACATGTACTTTGTGGCAAGCACTATGCTAAATGCTAGGTATGCCTCTAACCCTTCCCTCAAACTCCTTAGAGTTTGACAGAGGATAAGCCCGCCACACAGCAAAGCACACATTGGGCAAGTGACAGAGTGACTCAGATGGAAAGGGAACAGATTCTGTCCGGGCTGGCCAGTGCAGCTTAACAAGAGGTGGTGCCTGAGCAGGGTGTGAATGGTGTAAACAGCACCTTTTGAGATAGATTGGATGGTGATAAGACCCTAATGAAGAAACACATTCCAGGGGTACAGTATGTGGGACAGCCTTCTTTCTAGTCAGACAGCTTGCAAACTTTTCCTAGAAGTGATTCAGAGGTTTAGGAAAGGACCCTGACATCAATATATTGGCATTCATTTATTCACTCATTTAACAGTACTTATTAATTTGACATTGGGCTCAGGTGACCAAAATTTTACTAAGACAAAATATTTCCTGTGGGGATCTCACAAGGCATCAGGAGACAGGTGGGAAATCAGACAAAAACAATATAAAGCAGCCCTCACTGCTGGCTGCCCTCAGCTATTGCCTTCTTCTCCCTGCCTCTCAGAGCAGTCTTTTTTTTTTCTTTCTTTTAAGCAGCAAAATGCCAACCGCGGATGAGCTGTGATTGGCCTAAACTATCATGGCAATCCTAATTCCCTTCACCTAAATCTTCTTTTCTAGCTTCCCTTGCAGCAAGTGAGCAAATTAGTACCAAATGGTAAAGATGGATACTGGATGTGCTTTGTTGTTACACTTATGCAAACCATATATATTTCCCCATGTTTATATATTGCTTAACTTATCTGTCAATATGATGTAAATACATGTGTTCTCTCGTCCACATATCAGTACTTCAGATATCTGCTTAAAGCTATCATACCAATGTCTGTGTAGGCATGAGAGCTTAAACTTGCCTAGTCCCATAACCATATGGCACATGATAAATACTTTAGCTCCTATTTCTCTCTGTTATGGTAGACATCCTCTGCTATGTCAGTGGGCCTTTTAAGAAAAAAATTTCTCAGATCAGGTCCTGTCTTTGGTGTAACCTACCAGACTACAGTGGCAGTGCTGGCTTCCTTGATAACATAATAGTCCTTTTACTTAGAAATAATCTCTATCATTGAACTGACAGAGGCTGAAAAACAGCTCACTGCCTTTGATAGTTTATGTTATTGGTCCCTTTTTTTAGGATACCAAGTTTGAAAACAAACATCACCATAGTAATTAGTGAAGCTTTTATCTTTGAAACAAGTTAGGCATTGTCAAAGTTCCACTTGCCCTTCCACTGGTTAGATTCATTTTTGTCATGTGCTCTGAGGCCTAGCATCCTCACACCTCACAAGACCAATGCCTGAAATGCATTCAGAGAAATGTACTAATTTTTCTTCCTCCATCACTGTGTTCCCTGTATCCATATAACTCTACAAATGGACTCAGATCATAACACAGCCTCTTCCAGTGATACACTGGGACTTCCCTCAGCAGATGTGACAAACTGGATTATTCCTCTTCACCTTTGATTATTTCTGATCTCAGGGATCACTAGGATTTTCTTTCCCTGAAGTGCTCAATTTATTTCTTTCAGCAGTTGGTCACAAGCACAGAAGCATCCTAAGAAATAGTACAGCAAAGACATAGAACAGACTACTCAGTCTATCCCTTAGTGTCCAGATCTTTGTAACATATTCCTTACATCTGAATGGGGGGCCAGGTGTCGATTTTAGAGAAACTTGGTAACAGGCAAAATAACTTTAGTCTAAATCAGGGTGTGTATATGGACACGCCAGCTCCTTTTCATTTTTGTAGCTTTGAAATGGTCTGGGGCTGCAGAGAAGAAAAGACTCTTTCTCACACCACAAACAGATGTAACCACTGTGAAGAGTTGCAGAAAAGAAGACATGGTATGTGCTTAGGAAACAGAATCAAAGTGAATCAGTTGGGTGTATAAAAGAGGTAATCATAAGAGATACCCTGGCTACCCATAAAAGACTCAGAACTAAGAATATTCAATTGTAAGGAAAGAAATTGCCACAGCAAAAGGAATTGAATTTACTTTCTCCTATAACAATGAGTACGGTATCTGTCAATACTTTGGCCACTGGACAAAGACCCTGGAAGAAGTAGGGCAGACAACAATGATAAAATTGACCAGAGACAGAACACATGGAAAACAAAGCCTTTCATGGAGAGATGATAGTGGTAGGATAAGTAGAAGTTGCATCTTCCTGTTGATAATCATGGTCAAATTGCTTTTCCAAAAAAAAAAATTTATACCAATTTTCAAACCCACTAACAGCATATGAAAGTACGCTTTTCTCCTCCCACACCTCGACTGGATATTGCAGTGTTTAAAATGATTATTAATATGATAAGCTTATTTTGTTTTATTATTATATTTATGAAATAGACTTTTCATATATTTATTGATAATTTATATTCATTTTTTAAATTGATAAAATAATTGACAATAAATTTTGCAATAATTATAATAACTAATGTTAAATGAAAGAGTCCACGATGTTCCCGTGTTGCAAGTCTCAAATGGGCACACTGTTGAGTAGACAAGACTCCCATAAAGCCCACTCACTCTTCTTTCTAGCTTTCGTAATTAAGCTTGTGGACATTATAATAATTAGATGAATGGAGAAGTGGAAACTACCCACTTCATATACTAGCTACCAAATTAAGTTTATCTTGCTTATAGTTTTGTTCCAACTAATCTTCTTATGTTAAGATGTTAGATACAAGGAGAAAGAATAGGATCTGATTCAGGAGAGCAGGTTTATTTATGATGCCTAAATTTGATTGCTTCCTGGTAACAAAGGCAGTCCCAGGCATTAGAATTGCTTTGTGTTCCTTTTTACTTTTATTTTTTATTTTTATTTTTTTTTTATAATTGTTTCTAATCCTTTTTGGACATTGGTGTATTAAGTTCTCCTTGACTGTGAGTTTCTCTGGAACCAACCCAACAGGTGCCTCACTAAATTTATATTCCCAAGGTTTAGAACAGTCCCTGACATAAGGTAATTGTTAATTAGAACTATGAAATGTTTTCTGATTATATGAGTAAGTATAAACACATTAACTAATATTATAACAAAAATAATAACAACATATAAGTGACCTCCAAGAATATAAATTTCTATAAATTCCATGCCCCGCCCCCAAAATCTATCTTGCCATCTCTTTTCATGCAGTTGGAATTCTAAAAATGTCATCCTACTGACATAGTGCCTCCCTCTTCTCATCATTCATGACAATGCATTGTTCTCTCTCATTTTACAGGTAGAAGCTATTGGCATTTTTCTATAGAAGCATTTGCAGGGATTATACATTCTCATATTTTGCTGCATTCTTTGATAGAAAAATGTGCTGCATTGACCTGATAGTTGTAAAATATTTGAGATTTACTGTCTTTCTCGCCTGTGGATGATGAGAAAAGCTCCTCTCTGCTAAATAGTAAAGAAAAATTATTTTTCTACATAAATATTATCATTCTTAGCATTTATCATCTTGATAAATATTATTTTAGCTTTAAGAACTTCATGAAAAGGAGGAAACTCAAAAGCCAATAAACACCTAGAAGCCCATTATTCTTTATAAATCAAAAATAAATCCTATAGGAAACATGTCATAAATTTCCTTTGCAGGAAGCTTTCTTTTCTGATTTTATTTCCAATTATGAAGGAAGAACATATCATTTTCAGTAGTTAGAGACCATACGTCTATTTTCAAAAGAAATTTAAAAACGTATATAATCTCATCACCACCTAGGAATAAAATCTAATAACAATTTATTATATTTTCTTCTCATATTTTCTACAAATACATAACTATTTATAAAGAAGGTAACATTTGCAAGTTAATATTTGCAAGATAACATATCATTTACAAGTCTGTTAAAAAACAAAATTGATGTATCATGATCACATTACCATGTCAATAAATGCTGGTTTAAAAGACATTGTGGGGACTTAACTACAATTCATTTAACCATCTGCCTAGTGCAGGAAATTAAGATTGTTTACAGTGTTTCACTACAATAAATAACACTGCTGTGAATATTTGACTCTGTATCTAGTCCACCCTTAATTTGAAAGCTAGCATCCCTGTCAATGAGTTACATCCTTTTGGGTACTATTTATTTTCCTTGAAAGAAAGTGAAATAACTAAACAATTTTAAGTACTTAATACCTAATGTTAAATTGTTTTACCAGAGACCTAAACATATTTACATTGCTACCTATAATATATAAGTATACCCATAAGATTTAATATTTCATTTTAATAATGATACTTCTCCCTAGAAAATCTAGTCATTCACCTATAGACAAGATTTTCAAGAGTAAATACAACAGCATACACTTTGATGTTATGTCCTGAGTAAAAAGAACAAGTTTATTGCATGTACTTTTCCTTTCTAATAAAACCTGGAAAGTATTTTAAAAAAATAAACCATAGGAAATAAATTTGTTAGATTTGCATATACATGGTCGACACACATATGTATACAGGTGGTTACATGTCTATATACATACACTAACTACACATCCACATACACACACACACACACACTTCATGTGCTTTTAGAAGTAGTTTTTTTTTTTTCCTTTTTCCAAAATTGGAAATATACCCAATGTGTTGTAAATGTTTTGCTATTTAATATTGTATACTTCATGGATAATTTTTCTTTTCTCTTTTAAATATGAAAAGTTTTATTTACTCCAATATATCCACTGTTTACATCCCTCAATTCAGAAATCTCAATTTATCAGAAAATAAGTATTTTGAATTTGGTATAAACTCTTTCTATTTCTATTCCTGTTAGTAATATCAGGAAAGGCCACCAATTAAATATAATGCAAAATTCCTTTTTGGGGGGTGGGGAGCTATCTCTACATTAAATTTTTTTAAAATAGTTACATGTTATCAACAAAATTACAGTAAAATAATTTTCTCATATGACTCCTTTTTAAAGTAATAAGAATTTTGTACTTTTGTTGTTTAATTGCACTTTGCATGGTGATTTGGTATAGTATAAAGACATGGCCATCTTCATTTAGTCTCATGATCTAGGGCCAGAATCCTCAGGTCATATTATGAATATTTTTCTTAATAAATGAGAATGGTACAGAGCCCTTTCTAAGACTATATAAAATTTTTGTCAAGGTAAATAATCCATAATTCTAGGAATAATTCTTTCCAGGATATTTAGGTGTAGTCTATTCCTAGTTATTTTCAGAAAAGGGTAAAATGGATTAATCATACTAAATAGTTAAATTAATGCTATTATTGTTTCTTAGAAGGAAAATAGGTTATGGGGTTCAAGTTAAATGAATGGTGAAGAATGTGGCTGCACAGGGTAATAACAGAGATGACAGAATTAAATATGAGGAAATGTGGCCCAGGTTGGGCACGGCTTGAATAGAGTTTCAGGGAGTCTTACTAGCTGAACACATTTTTCTAAAGGATTTTGCTATTAAAATTCTTTAACTTCTCCCCTTTTATATGTTGGAGGTAGGTATCACTAACATTGGAAGTTTCAAATGTTCAAAGAAATCCATATCTAAGTGCTTTGTGTTTGATTTTGTTAAAAATCAAACACAAACATAATCATGAAAAATACAAGAGAAAATCAACTCATCTTGTGTAAGACAGGCTCAGTAAGATTAACAGCTGACTTCTAATCAGAAACCATAGAGATCGAAAGGCAGTGGTGTAACATTTAAAGTGCTGAAAGTAATTGACAACCAGGAATTTTATATCTAGCAAAATGATCCCTGACGAGTAGAGGAGATATTTACACATTCTCAGGTAAAAAAAAGCTAAAAAAAAGTCTTTACTAGCAGAGCTTCACTTTAATAAATAGTGAAAGGAGACATTCATACTGAAATAACAGGATCCTAAACAATAATTCAAATATTTTTGAATAAAGTGCACCAGTGAAAGCAACAGCATAGGTAAATAACACAGTATAAATGTATTTTTGTGCATAACCCTTACTTTTTCTAAAATATTTAAAAGAAAACTGCATAAAACAATAATTTAAAAACTGTTTTGATGGTTTTAGAATGCATAAAGGTATAATTTATATGGCATTAATGGTTCAAAGGAGGAGGAAAGAAATGAAGCTGTATTATAGCAAAAACATTGTATAATGTTATAATTGAATTGATATTAATCTAATCTAGGTTGCTTTAAATTAAATTAAGATTTTAATTGTAATTCCCAATGCAATAAATAGGAAAACAACTTAATATCACAAAAATAATAAAAGGAATTACAATGTTATGGTATAAAACATTTATTTAACAAAAAAAGGGGACAGTAATGGAGAAATAGATAACTAAAATTTAAAAATATAAGACATACAGAAATATCATTAACAAATAAATACCAGTGACAGATATAAATACTAACTTACAAGTAATTACATTAAATGTAAATAAATTAAGTCATATCAAACAAGAGATTTGCAGAATGGATTAAAAGTATAATCAAACTCTAAATCATCAGACACAATTTAGAGTGAAAGGAATGAATAGGATGAAATAAAATGTTGGAAGAAGCTATAATGTATAAATCACATTATATCTATCAAAAGAGAGCTATCTATCAAAAGAGAGCTATGTCTATCAAAAGAGAGTCACTATACTAATATCAGACAATATATACTTGAAGACAAAATTGTTACTAGAGAAAAAGAAGGACATTTCATAATGGTAAAAGGGTAAATAAAGAGTTATGTTATAAAAACATAACTACAAACATATGTCACTAACAATAAAGTCCCAAAATACTTGAAGCAAAAACAGAAAGACAATTCAACAATAATTATTGGAAATTTCAATATCCCACTTTCAGTATGGACAGAGCCATGCATATGATCAACAAGGAAGTAGGAGACTTGAAAAATAATAAAAACTAACCAGACTTAACAGGCATCTATAGAACACACACTCCTCTTTAGTGCACATGGATTATTCTCCAGAACATATGTTAAAACTGAAAACAAATCAAAATGCCAAAATAAGCCTTAATAATTTAGAATACTTGAAATCACTAAAAATTACACTATACAATTATGATAGACTAATATTACAAATAAACAACAGAAATTTGGGAAATTTACAAATATGTGAAAATTTAAAAATACATTCTTCAACCAATCATACAAGAAAGAAAATCAAGAGAAATTTTAAAATACTTTAAAAATAATGGAAATCTAAACACAGCATTACAACAATTATTTAATGTAGCTAAAGTAATTCTTAGAGATAGATTTATAATTCTAAATTCCTATATAAAAAGAAACTTCATGTCAATAAACAAATTGTACATTGTAGGAAGCTATAAAAAGGAGATTATACTAAAATAAAGGCAAATAGAAGAAAGGAAATAATAAAATTGGTGTGGAATAAATGAAAACAAAAATAGAAAAATAATAGAGAATATCAACACATCAAAAGTTGATTATTCAAGAAGGTTGAAAAATGGACAACTTAGCTAAATAACCAAGAAAATAAGGGAAGAATCTATTGCTAATGAAATGGAAGACATCACTATTGATCTTACAGGAATAAAAACAAGATGATAACAAGATACTAGAAACAATTTTATGCCAACATATTTGATAACCTAAATAAAATGAGTAAATTCCCCAAATTATGGAAACTACCAAACTGCCTCAAGAAGTAGAAAAGCAGAAAAACTTGTATTTGAAACTGCAAAGTTATAATAAAGAAAAGCTCAAGTTCAAATGGTTTCATTAATCTTTTAGTAATTCTTCCAAAATGAATAGAAAAGGGAAGAATGCTTCTCAACTTATTCTATGAAACCAGCATTGCTGAAATAATAATGCCATAAAAAGCCATCACACAAGACAATAGTATAGAACAATATCGCTAAAGAATGTAGACACAAAATTCCTCAATATAATATCAGCGAACTGAGCCCTGTGATATATCTAAAAGATTACATACCTTGATACACTGGAATGTATCCCAGAAATGCAAGCTTGTTTTAACATCTGAAAAGCAAGGTAATACATCATATTAATAATATAAATGACAAAACTCATGTGATCATCTCCACAGATACACAAAAATTATTTGGCAAAAATCCAACATCTGTCTCTTATTAAAACACTCAACAAACTAGAATAGAAGGGATCCTTCCTAAACCTAATAAAAGTGCATCAGTGAAGAGTTCACATCTAACATACTTAATGGTGTAAGATTGAACATTTTCCCCTTAAGAACAGGAATAAAATAAGGGTGTACACTCTTGCCATTTATATTCAACAATTTACTGGAAATTCTAGCCAGGGTAGTTAGGCAAGAAAATGAAATAAAAGCCACTAAGATTGGGTGGAAGAATAAAAACTATTTTGACAGATGACCCAACAAAATGGTCACATGTAAGCATATTCCCTGAGGAATCACACACACATAAAGAAACTAGAAGCAGTTTCCTAATAGATTTGTTATATTATTTATAAATTATTAAAAGAATAAAAGAATTAAACAAAGGAAAGCAAAGAGGGCAACAGGACCACAGTTTGAAAATATATTTTTATTATAAAATAATGAAAATGATTTGCTAAAATACAAATATATAGGAAGTAGAAATAAAATACTTCTAAGTTCCTCTTTGCATACATATCCTTGCTAATCATTTTGTTTATACCTTTCAAGCTTTTCTTTTACAGATCACATCATTGTTTATCAAAGCATTTTTAGCCCTTTTCAAATGTCTTGCAAATGTTTTCTTTTATTCGTGTGTGTGTGTGTGTAAGGTGCAATGTGTTTGTGTGTTTTCCCTTTATAATTCATAGATTTTGTGTCATGTGCTCGAAAAGGTTTTCCTATTCCTAAGATTGTATGATTTTTTTTGTTATTTGTATATCCAAATAGGGCAAAGGATATAAAACTTCTTTTTTAATAACATGCATTTTACAGACACTGAAATCAACTGGCCCCTGGGAAAAGAATGACATTGCATTTGATGGAGCAGAACATGTTTGGAATCATCAAGTACAAGATCAATTAACCAGAAAATTGATAGTCCCATAAATTTATGCAGAAGCCTCTCAGTGAACCCACCTGCAATTTATGAGCAGTTGACAAGAAGGACACCTACATAAATAATCCACACATTTCACTATTAAGTCACATTGAGACTTAGAGATATAGAAGACTATACAGACATATGCACATCTAGATGAAACACACACACACAAATACAAGAAACTTTTAGACTTAAAATGTCTTCTTAGTGTTTTTAGACAAACTCATATTCAATATATATCTGTTAGGTTTCATATATTTTAAGCCATTTGAATATACAATTTGTGGCTTTATCCATTATAAACCAAATTTTCTTATGTCATCTTTCTAATATCTGTACAATCAATTAGCAATTCTAGACTTGAAGCCTCTTTTCTGGTTAACAACTTTTAACATACACCTCCATACGTTCAAAGAAGTGCAACAATCTTTAAATTTCTTGTTCTATGTAAACTTCACAGAATACCTTTTTCCAGTTATGTATTCTCTGAACAAGCTGCTTTTATCTGATATCAGCTAGGATGGATACCTTATTACTTCCAAATACAATAAGCATATCATCTGTTTTTATTGAAGAAATTGTTGAATAAAATATGGTCAGATTCAGAACTCTACCACACAATGTCCCAGGGATTGATGTAAAATATTAATCTACCCACATTCTTATGATCACTTAAAGAACTACAACTCCATCTAACCACACTGAAATCCTGCCAATATGTTTTTCAGGATAGCATGAGAAATAATCTACTGAATATAGCTACTCTACTCATACTCATATACATATAGCATTTCCTAATTTTATCAGCCTAATAACCCCATCAATCTAAATGGAAAAAATTAAACTTTTTAACTGCTTTTGTGTTTGTAGTCAAATTTATGTAATCTTACTATATCAGGAGATTTTTTTCTAAGAGCTAGATTAAGTACCCAGTTCATCCATTTTTACATGCTTACTACAGAAATCTAGATGAAAGAGAAGAGTACAAAGAAATTAAAACTAATTTATAATTTCAGTATCCAGAGATAACCTATATTAGCATTTTATTGAATATACATACAAATGTATATTTATATTTATAGCTATCTATATTTTCTTTATGTCAAATATATTCCTATCTCTACCAATAGACACACTGAAAAATAACAAATATACAAAACAGCAAAAATAAAATCAAGGACACATTGAAAAATAACAAATATACCAAAACAGCAAAAATAAAACCAAAGCAAGACATATAAAAACTAAATCTAAATATAAAGACATACAACAATATGTACATTTCAAATATCTAAAGCAGCTGCTAAAGAATTTTTTTTTGCCTCCTACCTCATTCATGACAAATGACCTATTCATAAGCTACATATTAGCTCTTGGGAAGTACAGTATAATATCAGGCTCCAGTGGCTTTCCTTTCAAGATTATCTTTACACACTGGTAACCTGGTAACTGAGAAAATTAAATTCCTTCTCTTCATGGAAATCTCTCTCCCCCCCTCCCATACACACACACAATTCCTAGAAATTAGATATTATGAGGTCAGCAAATCTGACTACAAATATCTTTCAGTATCTGATATAAATAAATTTTGAACCATAAACAAAATAAAGCTTTTCAGGCAAAGATAAGTTGTCCACCATTATTAATACATTTAATTTGCAAGTAATAAATATAGTCAATTGGATGAAATATCCCTGAGGCGGATAGGACCATGAAAATCAGGACCTATTTTTGATGACAAGAGCTTTGAGAAATGAATAGTGTGATTAAGGCATTGGTTGGGATGGGGGAAGAAGAGTGTGTACCATACAATGTAAGGTGACCAAATCCTGACCACTACATGAGACTGCCTAGTTGCATATTCTTTTGCTAAGAGGTACTGAGATATAACACATCCCTATGACTCTGGAGGAATGAGCATTTTTGGTGTAATTAAATTCGTATCTCAAAGGTGTTAGTACATAACATTCATCAACAACCTAATTCATTCTAGAAATATTATATTTCTTTGGGACTTAGGATAAGAGATAAGGAACTAGGTGATTGGTTCTTCTTTTTGTAATAATCTGAAGTTACTGCTTGTTCTAAATTCCTGTTTATCTGGGTTTGTTAGGATTGACTGGACCAAGTGTTTCCCACCACCACACCCTGGGCCTAATTACTCTTTCTAACTCAGGGACTGTATGAAACTGTAAATCTTCCTATATTTTATGGACACATACAAATTGAGATGTTTATTAAGTATCCAAGCAAAAGTGATGAGTAGGAAGCCATTTATATAAATCTGGAGTTTGGGAGGAAGGTCTGAGCTGGAGACATAAATTAGGATGCTGTTAACATGTGGCTGGTATACAGGTATTTAAAGCATTAGAACTGGATAAGATCACCCAAGTGGTGTCTATAGAAAGAAAAGAGAAGATGTACAAAGGCTGAATAAGGAGCTACTGGCACTCTAACATCAAGAGATTGGGGATTAGTATGCCAAGCCCTTCACAAGCACTATTGCATATCATCCTTATAGCAAATCTGTAAAGTAAAAACTGATTTTTCTCATTTTACCAATTTTTCTTTATTTTATGGATAAAAGGAATATACTATACTTAGAAATTTTCTGTAACTTGCCCACTCTGCTAACATGAATTTTCCAGTTTTAGAAGCAAATTTTACTATAAATTTACTACAAAATTTTACTACAAAATATAATTTTGCTTGTTTTCTAATAATCAATAATTAAATCTTATATTTTATTGATTATTTACTATGTATGGTGTTTTTATATCATTATCACATGATATGTTTAAGAGTTTGTTGCCCTATCACTTATATTTTATAAATCCAATTTTCCTATATTGTATAATACTTGGCAAATTTAATCTCTCTTCCAATATCACTAGCCTAATTCTATATAAAAATCTCTTCTTTTAATGCATCATTCCACTAACCTGAACATATTAATTTCTGATCCCATTGAAATCTTGAAGATGTGATAGAAACAAAAAGGGTTCTATGATTTTCTTCTGTACATTCTAAGATTTATTCTACATCAAGTAATTTTTATATCACCAGCACTATTCAAAATTTTCTTGTTCCTGAAAGAAATGAGTTGTGTTAACTGAAATGTTAATAAATATACACATCCATACTTTGTGTATGAAAGACAATCCCTAGTTAAGCACAGCATTAACACAGTATGGTATCTACTGATAACCGTAACATATCACCACTTACAAAGTATCTTTATGTATAAGTGACTAGAAACATAAATCATATTGTGGTTAGCAATGGCCTTATTCAAATGGCATTATTTATAATAATTAATAGTGACTGGGCTCCTACTATATGCCAGACAGTGTTCCAGAGGTTTTGCATGTATAAATTAATATGTACTCACAGTATAACTCAGAGATAAGTTCTATTACTATCATTCTTATTTTACAGGTGTTAAAACTGATGCATGAGCAGAAAAAGTCATTTGTTCAAGGTCACACAGCTGGCAAATTTGAACTAGATAACTTGACTCCATAGACCAAACTTATTACCACTATGCTGTACATCCTTTCTAAGAACAAAGGGAAAATTCTAGAAGTAGTGTGGGAGAGACTCATCTTGAGATCAGAGTTGCCAGACATAAAGAAGGGGATAAAACTCAAATTGATTCACTTTTATTGTAATACATGAATGAAATGACTCAATATTGTCATTAATTCATTCAGTCCCTTGGGTATAATTTGGTTCAAAGGCCCTCACAGAACGATAGCACTGCCAATCACTTAAAAGAATCATGGAATATGCTGGGTGCGGTGACTCACACCTATAACCCTCGCATTCTGGAAGGCTGAAATGGCAGACCCTATCTCAACTTAAAAAATAGAAAAATTAGCCAGGTGGTGTGGCACGTGTCTATAGTCCCAGCTACTCAGGAGGCTGAGGTAGGAAGATTGGTTGAGCCCAGGACTTTGA